TTTGAGAGCGTAGGACTAGTAGATCTAGAATTAAAACAGATGAGATCTCCATCAACAATTTCAGAACCTCCAGGAGAACCCTCTCCTTTGAGATCTTGGGAAGGATGAGGCTGAGTCTTCCATTCGGGATAGACACATTCCAAACCATTTTCCCAGGAATACGTCTGCCCAGAATACTGAGAGGACCAAAACAGCTCATCTAGGTTTATGGCATTTTCCTGAAAAATTTCATTAGTAGAATCACCAACAGAACTGTTATCTTTATCCATTAGGAGAAATCCGAGGGGATTCTGCTCGGATTCCCACTCCGCTTTCCCGCTCACCTCCCACTCAGAACACCCCTGAGGGCTGGAGAGAACTTGCTCCATTGAAAAGAAGATTTCTCTCCTCTACAATGGAAATATTCCAGAAATTCTGATCCTTTGTTATGATTCCACAAGGTAATAATGTTCGGAATTCAAAAGCAGTTGGTGGCCTCTTCCAGCATACGCACCAAAAGAAATATCCTTGTCGAGACCCATGCGTAAGCGTCCACCTCCCTGTAAATGATCAACTACTGTTTACTTTAGTGGACACAGGGATAATGTTTCACTGCCATAATACAGCTCATATGGGCTGATATATTTTTCCCGATATGCAAATCTCTCCATGAAAAAAAAAATGTTGGCCGTTTCCCTGTCCCGCATTCAAAGTCACATCTAATCAATTTAACATAAAACTTCTCAAAACATGCTGATCCACATCCTAATCAACACATAATAACAGGATTACTACTCATAAAAAAAAACTCTATGAAAAATACAATTTTAGAATCTATATATGTATAAGACGAGACCCATGCGTAAGCGTCCACCTCCCTGTAAATGATCAACTACTGTTTACTTTAGTGGACACAGGGATAATGTTTCACTGCCATAATACAGCTCATATGGGCTGATATATTTTTCCCGATATGCAAATCTCTCCATGAAAAAAAAAATGTTGGCCGTTTCCCTGTCCCGCATTCAAAGTCACATCTAATCAATTTAACATAAAACTTCTCAAAACATGCTGATCCACATCCTAATCAACACATAATTACAGGATTACCTCACTGCTTAAGATTACTACTCATAAAAAAAACTCTATGAAAAATACAATTTTAGAATCTATATATGTATAAGAGAACACATGAAATTGCATAAAATAGAAAGCTATATCACTGCAAATATCAGACTTTATATCCAAATTCCATTTGAGTTCATTCATAACCCCTAACTTCCTAGTGTTAAAAAAACTGTGCCTGCCTCATTAGCAAATCATTATAAGTTCACATTAATGGTACACTTATTACAGGCTTGACACTTCCCTGGTTTAACTAGTAATTATTAAAGACTGGTTATGATATATAAACACAAGGCAGTGTATTCGATCATTACACCCAGATTGTCTCGCTGTCTGAGAGAATAAAGCTTTACATATTTTATAGGTTAAGCACAACAGACTATGTTCTAAACAGCTGTCATTGTGTTATGACTAAAAACAAAATCCCTTAAATGATAGATTGTGCTAGCGCGGTTAGCATCAGCATCCTCCACATCTGAGGTAAACCCAATAGCCGACTAACGTTAGCTGGCCCATACGACCCCCGCTCAATTGATTTTCCAGTTCGAAATAAAAGAAGACCCGTGATATGTTTCTGGTTTCCGTCAGAGTTGATTTAAATCCTTAATTTGGTTTGATGCTAGGCGTTTTATTCCTCGGTTTATCTCTCTTAAAAACAGGCCAACATCCAGGTCGAGTCTCGCGAGTCATCCACCTGCGCTTGTTATTAGCCTGTTAGCGGGTTCAAATCAGCTCGGGACCACCGATAATCCCACAATAAAGCGCGAATCCCTTTCATTTGAATCCTTCGGCGGCGATTTATCCGTTAACCTGCAATCCAAAGTTTAAGATGAGAGGTCCTGTTTTTTAGTCGACGGATGATGTTTTAGTTCTATATGTCTCTCTCTCTCTCATCAGCAGCAATACACAACCTCTGCTGTCTCTCTCTCTCTCTCTCACACACACACACACACACGCACACACAAACCGACGTCTGCAACACGCATGCGCAGCGCCGCAGTCTGCCGCTTTAAACCACAGGCGTCAAGAATCATTCCTCGCGCGGTTATCTGTGCGTTTGGTTGCGATGGTGATGGAATGCAGATTTATAACGGTATTTTTTTGAATCTCACATTCCCGCGAATCAGTTAACTGAGGGCTATGATGCCATGGTTTGCAATTGAAAACAGCTAGAGGTGAAACTAGTGGTTAACATAATCGAGACAGTTTGCCAGAATTAGAGTAGATAACGTTTACTTGGAAGAAATGCTGATTTGTTAACCAAACGGTGTTATTTTCAGTTACTTCCTGTGATTTTCTTGCGCCCCCATGTGTATGAATGACAACATACCCGGAAAAGGTAATACAAGATTGATAAAAGATTTATGAGAACTGTTACGTGTATCCTCCTGAGAACCAGAAATAAAAAGCGTTGTGAATTTAGTATTTTTTTAATGTCATTACATTGTTTAGAGCATAAGAAAAAAATAGTAAAATAAGATTTTTGAAAAATTATATTTTATTCGTAAGTTATGCTATGTGCTCTGTAGAGGACACCAGGACTCAAGTTTTTCTAACTTCCATGATAAACTGCATCATGAACTTGGAGATATCTCTGTTCACAAGATCGAAGTTACATGAACTGTCATACAATGTACTGTATATACACTATGTTCAAAAGTATGGAATCTGTAAGATTTTTTTATGTATATGAAAGAAGTCTCTTTTTTACAGTAAAAATAGTAAAACTATGTAAAAGAATTTGCATTTAAAATATATTTTTTTCTATTTTATTCCTGTGATGCAAAGCTGAATTTTCAGCATCAATACACCAGTCTTTAGTGTCACATGATCCTTCATTAATCATTATAATATCCTCCTGAGAACCAGAAATAAAAAGCTTTGTGAATTTAGTATTTTTTCATGTCATTACATTGTTTAGAGCATAAGAAAAAAATGGTAAAATAAGATTTTTGAAAAATTATGTTTTATTCGTAAGTTATGCTATGTGCTCTGTAGAGGACACCAGGACTCAGTTTTTCTAAAA